TTACAATCATATCAATAATCAAGAAGACTATCAGTTGCATTTCTATTGAATTATAAGAAAGCTTAACTTGCATACTTTGTGCTAGAAGAAAAGTTGGAAAAATAAAGGTTAGCAATTTCTAAAATGCAGGTTTGAGAAAGAAAATCATTCAACACATAGGACAGCCTTCCCTAGCTGACATGACCTGCTCTGCTCTCGTCTTTTAAAAGCACTAATGAAGAGCCTCTAGTGACTTGAATGGCTAATCTTTTAACGTCTTAAAGCGCAGGCCAGTAAAAGGCGGATGGCGGCTCATGGTGCTGAAGAGATGAGATTTTTTTCATTGAAGGGCACTTAAACAGAAAGCTATGAAAAAAGGAAGTCTGAAGAATCTCCTGCTTGTTCCAACACACACATTAAGTGTTACACAGTTAGCTTAATAAAACAAGGAGATACCAGCAGTGATTAACAACCTTGCACTGTTTAAAATGTTGTCTTTAATTCTGAATTTCAATTATTTGTTTTTAAGCAGCTTGTTAATAGTGTTATGAGCTTAAACACAATTATCCGGTCAACTGTCCGAATCCCCCCAGTTCCTCCCAAAAAATGAAAAAAAAAAAAAAAAAAAAAAAAAACAAATATGAATAAGTAGTAATTTAACCATATTTATGAGAATTACTTGTAGGTTTTGGATAAAAGCTCTTGCCATTGAAACATCATAAATACCACCTTAATGCATCTGCGAATAAAATGAATTAGCACTGCAAGTAATGGTTATTTTAGTCATTGATTATTCTAGCAATTATTTTGATGATTAATTGATTATTCAGATAAAAATATAAGCACATTCTGCAGATTTTTTGGATTAACCATTCAAGCTTTTAGTAATCAATTATTCTTGTGAATTATTCTGACAATCAATGGATAAAAAATTGCCATCTTCTACAGACTTTTCAGATAAACTCTTAAGTTTATTTTATACAATGTTGGAAATAGATAATTATTTCAATTGTCGATTCATCACCATTAATACGATTAATCGTCTAAGCCCTAAAATTGTTCATGGGATATTTAAGAAATTCTCCTGCCCAGAGGTCAACACATGGATTTGGTGACTAATACAAACACAGAACCTTTACTGTTCAACTGTCTTTCTTTTGAAATTTTACTTGAACTAGACCTTTCCTTCTGTCACTCTGTATTAGATCTACACAGTACATTAAAATACTCTCACCATCAATTAGATCCTTTCCAGATCTAGATTCCTGTTTTCCACATTTCTGAGGGGAGTATGAATTTTTGTCAAAACTGACCCAAAGTAACAGAGCCTGGCCTTGTGCCAAGTCAACATGTTTTTGTGCCCATGATATGTCCAGGAAGCCACGGCCAGAGAGGAAAAACAGGCAGTGGTTCCCTCACCTCAGAGACACACTCTGGCTCAAAAACAACAACAAGTCATGCTTGTTCAAATAACAGCTTTGAACCATCTTGTGTCTGATAGAAGTCATTTCTGTATCCTATTGGTTGGAGGATAAAAGTCAGACCACAACTTGATACCTTATGTAAAAAAACAAGCAAAAAAAAAAAAAACAAACAAAACAAAACCCGGCAACTCCAACTTTAATAGCTGTGCTACAAAAACAAAGTACAGATGCTGTCGCTGTGTTTATGAGGTTAGCAAAGTTTACTGATGTTGTTAGCATGTTTACAAGTTGTGTTAAAGATTGTTGCATAAGCAGCACTGTGTCCATGACAAGCAGAACTGGTTATCTGTCCAGGCTCTAACCATGGATAGCCCGGTATCAGGTTCTCCCCTGATACCTGCTGCGACAGACCGCCTGGAGGAAGAAAAATAAACAAGACACAGCTTCAATCATGTAAATGTGATCATCCATACCCCAATAAGAGCTTACAGTATAGAATGTGAATAAGTCTTATATCTATCATAGTTCAAATCAGTGCAAATCACTTCAGTAACATTCAATCATCCATTCAGATCAGATCCAAAATCTCTTCATGTTATTGGCTTATCAGCTGAGATAATATGTCAAAAGTTTACCTTTTACCCTTTGAAATCTTGGTATTAGCAATGATTCATGTGAATTCATGATTTTAAAAAGAACATCAAACTATAGATTTGATGTTCTATAGTTTGATGTAGAACAAACTATACTCAGGTGAGCTCCATTATATATTTATTAAATTATATATAAAATGTAATATACAAGTTATATTACATTATGGCTAATGTAATAGCTATATATAGTTATGTAATAGCTATAGCCTATAGCTATTACATAACTATATATTATGTAATAGCACTTTTTTGCATTTTTTTAATACTGCTTTGTAAAAGTGAAAACATTTGAACTGTTTGTATACAATAGATATGTGACATCCCAGTCGAACATTTCCCTTGGCAACCAAGGAGTGCCTCAGAGCTCTCGTCTTGGGCCACTACTCTTTACCATTGGTATGATCCCACTTTGTCAAATCTCAACATGTCATTCATATGCTGACTTACATCTGCACCTGATCACACTTACTGATCAACTCTTCACACGATATAAGAGTCTAACTGTTTATAAGACTCCCTAACCTTGATGTCCTCTTGGAAACAGATTGCTACTAGAGCTGTCCATCTTCCATCTTCTGTTTTGAGTCACATTTTAAATCCTTCACAGAATCTGCTCTCTCACCTTAAATATGTCTCAAGAATATTGTCATGTCTCACTGATCCTGGGTCTCTACAAAATGGTCTTGCTTTGGTCTTAGGATATCCAGAAAAGCACTAGAAAGGTGCCATATGTGCAATGCCTATAAACGTATTCACTCTCTTGGATGTTTTGCACTATTTGTTGCTGTTATAAATCAGTCATGATCAGCTAAATATGGCTTCAGTGACAATAAAATTCACAAAGAACTCTTTAATATCAAATTGAAATATGACTTCTCCGAAATCATGATGAAGCAAAAATATTTAACATAAAATATGCTGCCACCACCGTGCCTCACAGTAGGGATGGTGTGTGTGCAACATTTGTTGTCCCCCAAACATAGCATCTTATCTGATGCTCGAAAAGCTCAATTTTGGTCTCATCAGACCACAGAACTTTCTTTCTCTTGACCATGGAGGCATGTTGTCTTTGTGCTGTCAGGGTGACCAGGATTAGTGGATCTTTCAGATGCAGGCTTTTTTATATTAACATTACTTGAGACACTCACTGTACTCAGCTGAGCTTCATTCCATTCATTGTGAGACAACTATCACCATTTGGCTGGACCTCTGTTGAATTAGGCCAGTCACTTCAAAGGGGGTTGGATATTATGTTTCATATTTTTACTTAATTGTCTTAATTTTGTAGAAATCAATTTTCACTTTGACATTAAAGAATTTTTTTTGTCATTTTTTTATCACATAATATAGAAAGATTTTGTTGATCAATGTTGATTTGTAAAAGCAATAAAAGCGTAAAACATCCAAGGGGGTGAATATTTTTGTAGTATAAATAATGTAAATATATACTTGTTTTCCTGTGTTGCTGTGCATTAAATCATGGAAAACACATTCCAGCTTCATGAAGTTCTCCTTGAATGTGTTATTTTTGACAATGACCGTACCCATGCGCATGAATGACAGTATTATTTATTTCAGTTTAAACATCCAGTTCCAATAAAATGCATATCCGGTTTATATGTAAAGAATGAATTACTTAAATTCAGTAGTATGCCACTAAGAGTGTTAATTATGCAGTGACAACCAGAAATGACCTCAGCAACCAAATCAGCAGAACAAACACAAAGCTTCATCTGTGGACTGTAAGAGTTAGCTACCTTTGTTTCTGCAGACTGCATTGAAATGACTCAAGCTCACTATGTGGAAAATGATGCCACCGCCACCAGAGTAGTGGCAGCATCATGCTGTGGGGATGCTTCTCTCCAGTAGGGATAATTAAGTTGAAAAAGTGAGAAAAAGTATGGAGTCATTCTGGAAGAAAATATGTCAATAGCTGAAGAAGACTTGAGATGGGGTGAAATTGATGTCTGCATGCACCAGCTGACTAAGTTTGAGTTAATTTGCAGAAGAATAGTTCAAGCAAAATGGAATTCTTTAAATATGAAAAGAGGTAGAAACAACACTCCCCCGCCCCCGCCCCCTCCAAAAAAAAAAAAGATTTGTCACTGACATTGCAGTACGAGTTTCTTTTTTTTTGTTGCTTTACAGACGATTGAATCGGGAGGACGAATACATGTCCCCTCCACACTTTTCAGATATTTATTTGTATTCAGCATTATGCGCTGCCTTATGCAAAACCTATCCAAACAAAATGTGAGATTGTAATGTGACAAAATGTGAAAAAGTTCAAAGGGCACAAATACTTTTGTAAGGCTGTTATATAAATGCATCACAGTAAAGGTCAGCCAACAAATGTAACAGCACTGAATTTTTCCCTCCAAATATCTCTTCAGAGAAAGACCTCTCAACTGTGTTTTATATATATATATATATATATATATATATATATATATATATATATATATATATATATATATATATATATATGTGTGTGTGTGTGTGTGTGTGTGTGTGTGTGTGTGTGTGTGTGTGTGTGTGTAAACGATATTGTCTCCCGTTTACATCGTGTTTTGTTTTCTCTGCAGCTGCCTTCTCCCAAAATAACCCAATCATTCCACAGCAGGTAATTCTTCCCAAACAGGTTTAATGATCTAATATGGCTGTAATATTAATGTGGCACATATTGCTGCTCATTATCTCAGCGCCAGACGTTCTCAATAAGCTGCAGTCCTTTCTGCAAACATGAACACCCCGATTTGTGAACGCATCTTGAAGAGTGTCACGGGAAAAACATGCAGCAGAGCAGAACAAAGCATTTCAGCAGTGTGCAGCACAGAGTGGATGCGACCAGCCTCTCTCTGTCTGTGTCCGCGTGTGTTCTGTGCGCGCGTGTTCCCCTCCGTCACTAAAACAGAGAATAGCAGCTGTTTTGTTTCAACCTTACCTTATCGGGCTGCTCGGGGGATAAAGCGCAGACTCTGTGGGTGATGGAGCTCCGCCGTTTAAAAAAATAAAATGAAATAAAAAAATACCCAAGCACAAAACGTGAAGAAATAGGCGCAGGTAGTCCCGTTTTGAAGGAAATGGAAGAAGGCGATGTGCTGGCAGCCTCGCGTCGCTTTAAGTTTGGGTTATGTGTCGCTGTGTTAAGTGCCAGCAGAGGACTGGAATAGGAGAGCTGTCTGTGGAGGGGCTTTAACACGCTGCTGGCTGAGCCGCTGGCTGCCACCCTGAGCTAACTGAGAGCTACTTAACTCACACCGTTAACTTTGTGTAATACCGTGGAACGCTCCTTTGTGCGGCGTCACTAAGCGCGAGCGACATTGTAACGAACGCTAGCTAACCGAACACCTTAACACAGCGCGTGCTCACTGCCCCGGAGCTTACCGTGGGTATGCTTCAGCTGGCAGACAATGAAGCTGCCTTATAGTATACAGTTATGTTAGCTTAGCTGAACGGAGATAAAGCTAGGGGTGCGTTCAATTACCTTTGAGAAGTCGTATTTTTGTCAACTGACAGTAAAATATAAATATTAAAACACGAGGATACAGTTGTGTTAATGTATTTCAGTAATCGAGATAAATAAGTGAAACTCATATATAGGTATATTATGTGTATATTGCGGCAATTTTGAACATAATGAAACGTAAAAATGATTTCTCACAAATTAAAATATTACATTAGACCAAAAGAAAAAAATGAGCTTGGGGGCTTTTTAAAGGTTTGTTTATGTAGGTACTGTACACGTTTCATTTAAGTACTTCAGCAGACAATATTGACAATAATAACATTTTATTTGCATAGCGCTTTTCTTTTCATAGACACTTTTCAAGAATCAAGTAAAATTGCAAACAGAACACAATGTCATCAAACACAATCTTAAAAGGGGAACACTTAAATAAAAAAACCTCGTTAAAAAAATAGTAATACATTAAAAACTCTTCTGAAAAGGTGTGTTTTTAGATGTGATGAATAATCAGTCCGTGTCTAGCTCAGCAGTATTGATGACTCTTATCTTCCTCCGGAAGCTCTGGTAATAATCCTTCCGCCTTCAGCTGCTTGTTTGAAAAAGAAAAAGAAAAACAGCCGGTGCATCTGTGTGTTACTTTATTTCAGTAGGATAGGGTGGAAAGGTTTTTCGCGAACTGTTTGTATAAAGTCAACTTTTTTTTCTTTTTTTTTAAACTCGGAACCATACTTTCAGGCGTGGGAGGGGACGGGAAAGGGAGAAGTCGGACGGTCATTAAATGCAGCATTATCACTTCGTGTCGCAGTCAGGTTACAGGGAGAAGGCGATGCTGCTTGAGGACTGATGTGACCAACCACTATAGCTCAGCGGTACAAATGCTCCTGGTCTCTTTAAACTGCACTCTGCACGTTTACAAATGCGCATCCGCTATCGCGATATTTTTGTGGCACTTCTTTTTTTTTCCAATAAAAAAACAAACAAATTAAATATGTATTCCATATTTATGCACCAAAAAAAAAGCAAGAGCTTTAGACCTAATTTTCCCACACAGGCTGTTGCAGTCAGTGCTTGCTTTCACAGGTCATAACCTGGCAGCTCAGTGTGCCTTTCCTCATTGCTCAATAGCCCTGTATAATATATTCATGAGCTCACAGGGCTAATGTCTCCCACAGAGAAAAGGATGTTTCCCCTCCCTCCTCCTGAAGCCTACTGAGTGAATGACTGCAGATTAGAGCAGATCATTTTCGAGAAAAAGCAAAAGGGGGGGGGAAAAAAGGAGGAGGAGGAGCATGACGTCACCTGCAGATGATCACCATGTATGGGGGCCGGGATTGGCAAAGGGGAGAAGAAGGGGGTGGCATGGATCATGCAGCATGGCCCTGTGATTTCCCTTTACCTGCGACACACATGTGACAGAAGTACACACTCGCTGACAGGAGCCAGTGTGGGCCCAATGGGACACGGAACCGGGGCCAGAGACGTAGCCCGGGCAGGGGCCAGGGCAGGGGCCAGGGCCGGGGCCCAGACCAGAGCCAGAGCCAGAGCCAGAGCCAGAGTTATTAGATTCATCTGCAGTATCTTGCCACAGGGCAGTGCAGCGTGGCGAATAAACAGTCCAACCTGCCTGTGTTTTTCAGACCTCTGTTGCCCTGGAAACAGGTTCCCGAGATTTCCCATTTCTTCATTTTTTTTCTCTTCTTCTCTATCCATCTCTCCCCTTCCTTCTCCTCCTCCTCCCCTCCATCAGCACCACCACCACCTCTACACTCCACGCGCTGCAGCTGCCTCGCTGCTTCCTCCCCCAGCGACCTGCCGCATCACGTACAATTCCAATCTGCTGCAATGTTTTCACAATGTCACAGGACCAGAGGCGACACGGCCACGCAGGAGCAGCGGCCGAGGAGCGCTGACCCCTTTCCTCACTCCGATCGGAGTCCGAGCGGCCATCACTGCTGCAGCAGCCTCACTTCCACAGGCAGAGAAAGGAGCGGGGAGGAAGGGAGGGCTGGAGAGACAAAGAGGGAAAACAAAGCAGGTTCAGATTGGTTTCTGGTTTTGATGGCGGCGCAGATGCAAAATGCTCCTCTGAAATGAATCATGCAGGCGGGTGCAAACGGTGAGGGGGGAAATAATATGCCTCCCCTCTTGATTCTCCTTTTGGAGATGTCACCTCAATCAAATGTTCAGAACATAAAAATATAAACCTGAGTAAAATCCAAATAGCAGATCATTTTGGTTATCAGAGAAAAGACGCCAACTTTCCAAACAAACCTGGTTGTTTTTGGAAAAGTAATAGACAAACTTAACCTGGAAACTGGCAACAAATACTCCAATCAAGATAACAGACATCGAGTTTGTTATTGTTTCAGTTCTCACAATTGGACTTTTTGTGTGTGTGTGTTTAAGGTCACGCCACAATGTTTTAGTAGGGTTTAAATCTGGACTTGGAGTAGGCCGCTTTAGATTTCTTGACATTACCATCAAAGTCAAGCTTATCTGTGTTAGCATATTTCAGCAACAGACCATTCAAAATGCTTCACGCCATAAAAACATAAACACCAATTACGAGACAAGCGATAAACGTTACATTTTGTCAAATGCCATCATCAAAATCATCAAGCAAATATACATCAGATATTTCAAATTCCAATTTCAAAAATACTTTATTAATCCAAAAGCGAAATTAAATGTTGTTGTAACTCATATTAATCCAATTTCTAACTAAAAACTAAAAAAGGTTTAAAAATAAAGCAACTTAAGTTATAATTGAAATAGTCCATAACATGTTTTGGGAGCCATTTCAATAAATCAATCATGTTTATGAGGAATTTTATTCAGAGCAGTTACTCATTAAAGCTCTTTTATTTAGAACCTTACATTTTTGTAAAGATGCAGCAGAGATCAGATCAGTGCGACTGAACAAAACGTGCTCAGAATCAACATCTGAATTTTTGTTTTATTTCTCGATAGTGTGTTGATATGCATTACGAGTCATTTTTGGTCTTGCAGCTTGAATGTGATTTCAAAACTTTTTAAACCATATGGCTGTTGTTGGTTTTCTTTGAGTCTCTTCAGTGATTTCAGCTTCTTCTAGAAAAGTGGTTCACTGTGGTTCACTGCAGGCCAGCTGGAGCTGGAGCCATAGATTATTTCAGTAATCGATTCATCTGATGATTAATTGGATAAAAAAGAAATTGGCACATTCGCAGATTTTTCAATTAACCACTTATTCTCATTTTACAAGATATTGGAAACACATTTGAATAATACAGATAAATGATTTAACTCCTTTTTTAAATGATAAAATTAATATTTTGCTGCATATAATGCAATTACAGTAGTAATTTAGTGAATGCCTGATCATTCAAACTGTACAGTTTTGGCTTATCTACTGCTCTGACAAAGTTGTTCTTTGTGCATATGACATTGTTTTATTTTTTGTTTTCTTTTGTTTCGATTACCAAAGTAGTTGACGATTATTTCAATAATCGAATCATCAAGATTTATCCAAATAATTGTTTCAGAGCAACTGGAGACAAATATGTGTCACTTTTTTTCCTCATCTGTTTTTGAATATTTTTTTGTACTCTGTGTTGCTCTTTGAGATCTTTAGCCTACTTCGTGTTGTCGGGCAGGCTCTGTTGATGTCATTTTTATTTTTTTAAGGGCTTTAATTAGGCCCGTGTAAAAATGTAACTCACTCGTTTTAAAATTGTGGTTAATCACTTTTCATTAATTATGTCACTAGAGGGTTAGTCATATTTTCACACAGTCCCATGTTGGATCAGATTACTATATTTTCCCCTAATAAAAAAAAATCTAACTTTTTGGCATTTAGACAGATTGTCTTTAAATTTAAATTTGTTTGAAGATACAAACTGTTTAAGTGAGCCAAAAAAAAAAAAAAAAACGTGAAGAAATCATTTTTTTCCCCCAAAGCATTATATTTCATAATTGTGTTTTCCTGAACAGTCAGAACAAAAAAAGTGCCACATGGAAGAGGATTGAGGAGAACCTAGCATGTTGCCCGTCTCTTCTGACTTTCAGTCCTTTTTAAGTCATCTTTGTGTTTCTGCAGTGTTATGTGTGCATTCCTTTGCAGTGACTTCTCTTTGGCAGTGAGCAGAACATTCCAGGGAAATGGCTGACCTAGAATAACACTTACACACACACAGAGAGAGAGAGAGAGAGAGAGAGAGAGAGAGAGAGAGAGAGATGGGATGAGGCAGTGAGGTCCTCCGCCCTCTCGCTGGCCGGACTCACTGAAACCGCTGTTTACCGTTCATGTGGAAAAACACAACCACGCCGCGCTGTGTGGATGCAGCTGGGGCAAAGCCTCACATGACTGTTATCACAAGAACACATGACGGCGTTCGCCCTCCAGCTCCGCCGTGACTCTGCTGCCATGTCCTCTGGCCCTGCAGGACCTTCTCAGGCGGGATAAGCAGGCGTTTTCCATGATGCAAGCCTGGACTCGGCTGTCCCGGAAAACAACATTTTTAAAAATTGAAACGTATAGTTTCGTGATTGTGAAGGTTTTATTTTTATTTTTTTTTAGGAATCACAAGAAAAGCTCATGTTGCCTCGCAAAAGTATTCACCCTCATTTTGTCATCATGCAACCACACAATTCAATGCATTTTGTTACATATTTATGGAGCAGGCCCACACATCCAGGGCTTTCTCTCCATGTTTATACGGGTTCTTCCTGGGTACTCCCTCCCACAGTCCAGAAACACAAGACTGAAAATGTCCCTTTTAGTGAGTGAGTGTGTACAGGCATGATTGTTCTGTGTGTCTCCGTGTTGCGTGGCAACCTGTCCAAAGTCAAAGTGTAGCCTAGCTATCCAATGGCTGCTGGAACATTGGATAGGTGTTAACCCTAACAGGTAATTGGGCAGTTGGTACAGATGGATAATTGGTAGATAAATGGGTGTACGGACCAATGCAAAGTATAGTTGAAGGATAATGTTTTGTTTGTTTGCTTTTTACTCATTTAAATCCTGCAGAGGTTTGCGGTGAATCCAGATTTATGAACCGAATGCGCAGGAGGACAATGGGTAAACTCCAAGCACTCAATACATGGAGATTGAGATTAATGCAACGTTTGCAGAACAATCCGGTGAAGCGAGAGCTTCTCACTGGTTGTCTTGCACTGGAATATTTGCCTTCCATATTTAGATCCTTCTGCTAGTTTTCAGTAAAAGCAGAACATTTTTGAAATAGTAACCTTTTGTTTTTCAGGCTTTACACAGGTTTCCTTCCTTCTTTTCAATATTGTACCACAAGGCTTTGACTTGTAAGCAGCATCTCTCCCCATATTTCTATGCCTGAAGAATGTCAACATAACTATTGTACATGTTTTGCTGCTATTCATAACTTTAAAATTGTGTCTCACTGACAATTAATTATAAGCATTGATCCCATAACTTTCAGTGAATGTGTATATCAGACACATTTGCAATTTATTTTATGTTTCAGATGTATATTAAAATAATGTATATTTAGATCTTTTTTTACGCAAAGGTTGGCTATCACATTTATAAAATGTTCGGTGATAACTAAAAAAATTTATTAAAGTAATTGAATGTCAAAGTGTGAAAATGTGAGTGTATATGATTTGCTTTAAATTCAAAGCTTATCTCTAATAATATAAATGTGTTGTGAAAAATCTAGAGTTAACTCAAATATTCTGGCTCAATACTGCCATCCTCTGTTGAAAAGCAAACACAGCAAACCCAGTCAAATCTTAATGTTGTGTCTAAAAGAACATTTATGGGTGTTTTCATTGTTTTTTTCTTGTTTTTATTATTTACTCTATGATCACAATTAATTGCAAGGATATTATGTCTAGTTCTTGAACAGAAACAAAGTAACTAACTTCTAATGTATTTCACATCTCATAGTTCATGGTGCATGGTCAAACTCGTTTGACAAAAGTACACAAAATAAAGATATAGATTTTTCAAGGATTATTCTTGCTAAATCTATGCTAAATTAATCTATTATGTTTGTGTGTGTTTTATTAGTACATTTAGTAACTTGTCATCCATTTGTCTGGGCCGTTTTTATGAGATGGAGCTCAAAATTTAAAGAGTTTGACAACAATTTTCAAATGAGTCATCTCTGCATTTTCACTCATTTTCCTTATTATTACATTCTTAGTCTATTGAGATATATATGATGTTATTCCACCCAAATTCAAACACACACCTGGGAGGATTTTTTCACAAGTGTTAGGAATGTAATTCTGTAATTCTTTGACGATTATTCCAAGACAGCATTTGTGAAGTCAGTGTTCAAGCGACGGTCAGTCTCACATTAAATTCGAGTCCTGCCACCACAAACCTGCTAATCCGATGTTTTTAGTGATTTAACATGTCAAAGCAAAGGAAAACTTTTTAATATTAGTTTTCTTAGTTATGCGTCTTATTCACACATTGGAACTGGACTGAATAATATAACAAAACAATTTCTTAAGTTTGGGGAACATTCTAGTACTCTCTATTTATGCAGTTACTACAGCATTTATTTATTTTTCAGTTTTGGTGGCTTAAAAGTTTTTTTCAAATTTATTGTCTACACTAGTATAATAAAACTTGGCTTTGTATTTGTAGCTAAGATGTTTAACCAACTCTTAAATAAAATGATCTATCAAATAGAAAATAGCAATACATTTTAAAAAGCTTTTAATTCAGCCAAATGATTAAACCAGATAACCAGATTTCTACATGCCCAACTCTAAAGCGTCTTTGCAATTTGTGCGCAGGCGCAGTCGGTTTCAGTTCGCTTTCGCTTTCGATTCCCATCTGAAGCGAACTGAACCGAATCCCTCCAGTCACGTCGAGGACAACAACCGTCAGACAGAACTACACGACGTTCAAATGAACCCAGCGCGGTCTTCGACTGAAGGTGAGTTTTATTTCAAAACGTTTTGCCAAATTAAATGTATTACCGACGACTGCGTGAGGGCGCGCGCCTGTCTCTGGGAGTTTTGGTGGAGGTCAGGGTTCAGGGTTGGGTTCGGAAGAACCTCCAACATGAAGCTAAAGAGGTCAAAGTACACTGGACTGTTTTATCCCTTCACCTCCTGAATGATTGAGATGCTTGAGCTTCGTGCTGCTGAATGTTTTCTGTCGTGTGTTCAGACTTTCAGTTTCTTTATTGCTACTTGGGGAAATTTCTTTCTTGTTTACTTTATTTCTAGTTTTAGTTTATCGCCTAGATTTGGTTCTTTTGTATCTCCTTTTGTGTTTCTTAATATGTTTTAATTATTTAGTTTTTTTTTGTACAATCCCTTAGCTTTTGTTATTTATTTAGCTTTTAGTTCCTTTGATTGTTTTCCATAAGTTTTATGGTTTTTCCTGCCATAGTGCTCCTTTTCCCAGTCCCCCATTTCCTCCTCTCTGGCTGCCCCCACTCACCTGTAATTAGCTCTTCTGATTCCTGCTTCACTTCCACATCTCCCTCAGTACTTAAGATCCTCTCTCCTTCAGTTTTTGAGTTTTTGTTAGATTTTATTTATTTATTTATTTATTTGGTTTGTTCTGTTGTTGGTGTGGGGTTTATGCTTATACTTCACAAAGCTATTCACTATTTATGGAAGACGAATTACAAGATTATTTTCTACAGAAACCCCAAATGTATAACCTACATTCCCGGGACTCAAAATGGAATAAATGTACTCGTTTGCTCACACTTGTTGATTCTGATTCAGAATATTCTATAAATATTGAATAATGGATATTCTATTAAATGTCTTATTTATTGATATTAATCACGTGGCAGATTAGTAGATAAATGTCTGAAAAAGATTTTGTTGATCTTTTTCAATAAAAAGATTTATTACAAAGAGATTTGTTTGTCAGTTAAAAACAGGATCGGTGAAGGTAACACCGATCCTAAAGTTTTTGTCGCAACAAAATACAGAAAACAGACCTCAGATCAAGAAACAATGTAGAACTGAATGTCTTCCTTCCTGTTTCTAGACTGAAAACTTCATATTTTATGCACTGAAACTGTGGCCACAATCATGCTAATATATTATATGTGGTCAAAAATAAGCATCTTATTGCTATTATTAGTACATGTTGGTTTCTGACTGGGAATATCTTTGAATTTACCAAGCTGAAAACAGAGAACATAAAACTCAGACTGCCACTCATCCTGGTCACCTTCTCTTGTTTCCTGCAGACATGGAAAAGAACAAACATCGCAATGACAGCTCCAGGGTCAGAGAAGCCATGCAAATGTTTGATCCTCTGCACATTGAAAAGGAGAAGCCCAAAAGTGAAAACCAGCAGAATGGTAAGGATGGCAAGGATGGCTCACTACAGGCCAGCTCCTCTAATCCATCCACATCTGGACATAGTAAGGCAAGCAAACGCGATGGAGACAGCTGCAACGAGGACGCAAAAAAGGCAAGCAAACACCATGTAGACAGCTGCAATGAGGATGGAGGTAAAGCGAGCAAACACCATGCAGACAGCTACAATGAGGATGGAGGTAAAGCGAGCAAACACCATGCAGACAGCTGCAATGAGGATGGAGGTAAAGCGAGCAAACACCATGCAGACAGCTACAATGAGGATGGAGGTAAAGCAAGAAAACACCACGTAGACAGCTACAACGAGGATGGAGATAAAGTGAGCAAACACCATGCAGATAGCTACAATGAGGATGGAGGTAAAGTGAGCAAACACCATGCAGATAGCTACATGAGGATGGAGATAAAGCGAGCAAACACCATGCAGATAGCTACAATGAGGATGGAGGTAAAGCGAGCAAACACCATGCAGATAGCTACAATGAGGATGGAGGAAAAGCGAGCAAACCCGATGGAAGCAGTTGCAATGAGGATGGAATTGAGGCAGCCAAACACATGCCTGTGGGGACGCCGTGTGGCGAGGAGTGCAGTGGAGTCGGCTTGTCGTGCTGCCGGCTGGATGAACTGAAGACGCTTCCACAGTGTGACATCAAACTGGGAAAACTGAACTTCTCAAAGACTCACACCGTCCTCATAGATGTGAGTTGTTTCCACCTTCCTCTCTGTCTCTTTTGTTCTGAACAAGTAGGACGTCTTCATTTACAGACACCACCTGTTGGAAAAAAAAGAAAAAATATTTGACAGAATGTACCAACAATGGAAAAACGTTGGTACATTCTGCAGATTTTTCATCCAGGCCTTTTTTTTATGCAATATTAGAAATACATTAATAAAATGCTAATAACTAAACATAATAATTTTTTTTAATGAGAAAAAAATACTGCCAAAAATGCAAGAATGATAATGATACATTTTTAGATTAACCAATTAATAATTGGATGGCAAAAGCTGCTTGTTAAGAGATTTTTGTCTTTGATCAAAGTGAAGGTAAAACCACAGCTTGCTGCTTCAGGAATTCTGGGTATGACATATTAACAAATCCTGCAAATTGAGCATTTATCATAAATGCAAAATTTTTGTCTCATGTAGTTTTGGCTGAATTACTGCTTTGAATGTGTTCTTTCATCAGTTAGCCTTTTATTGGGTCTGTCTACTCCAGTTAATGATTACTAAATTAATTGGCGATTACTTTAGTAATCGATTCACCGTGATTAATTTGATGTATCATTTCAATCCAAAATAAAATTAAAAAAAAATTTTAATTACATTTTTTGCTCACAAATGTAGTGATTTTGGGTTCGTCACCATAACTGACTGGGAATAGCTTAAATTTTGATAGTTCAAATACCAGACATACCTTAATATGCGATAATGTAGTCTAAACTGTTTTAATACTAATTTGGAGTTATGTTTCCCAGAGAAATTCCAGAATAATGAACTGTGAAGTAGCGAAGATCCACTGTACATGACATCTCGATCATTAGTTAAGCCATCTAAAAGCACTTATCAAAAGTATCCTTTGATAGCGTAATAATAAAACCATGTTTCAGACAAAGTCATTTCTGCTCTGTTTGCTTTTCAGGTGAATTCCTTCAGAGTCGAGGCGATTGTTCCTCAGGACGGGAGAGACCTGTGGCACAGCAGCTTTGTTAAGATGCCGTGTTCAACATCGAGCTTCTCAACAAAACCAGACACACAGATTGGTCCCCTTAGATTCAAGGTGAAGAATTGATGAAGTGACATTTAGGTGGTGTCATAAGGTCATCTGGACCTTGTGCTTCCAGTGTTTCAGAGTAAAGGTAATGTTTTATGACCTGCTGTGAAGCGGTTAAGAGATGTTTTGCTCTGCTGCAGATGAACGTCTCCTCCAAATAAGGAATATTTGCTTCCCGGGGGGGAATCTGATAGTTTCTAGCAGTTCCTGAAAATAAACGGTGAAGGTTCTGATTAAAGTTAACTTTAATGAAAAAACACCTTCATGTTTATGTCTGTATCAAGACCTCAAATGGACGGGACCCATTTTGCACTTGTTTCATTTACTCACTTTGTCATTCACAAAACAACCTTCACCTGACTCTAGTTGTGTTACCAGCATCTTGTGCTCTTGAAAAAGTTTGACTTGTAGGAGTTTAAAGCGGCAGAAATCAACTTGTATGTTAGCTTGGCTCTCAAATGAGAACTTTTCCCTGATTCTCCAAACTGAAATAGCTCTGACTAATTTTTACCACAGGCAAGATACTGACTGCTCCTAACCACCACACATAACCCTGCAGCTTCCTTGAACTGTTCTTGTGACCACAATTTGTTGTGTCTTCAAATAAGAAAGAAGAAGAGCAGGACTGGAAATATTTTGTCCTCAAATCTCGCAACTTTTGGTGACATAAATCAGATGTTTTTCTATGTTAAAAATGTAAAATGTAAATGACGTTGCAGAGCCAATCGGGCCCGGTGTCGAGGTGGAGCCTGATCTCCGAGCAGCTGCGTGCTCTGGCCAGGAAGAAAACAGCAAAAGCCGAAGAGGTGGAGGTATGGTTGAACTGGGGACGAAACCAAGGACTGCTTTAGCAATCGATTAATTCTGATGATTAATCCATTGATCAGATAAAAACAAATTGACACATTCTACAGATTTTTCATACAAGCGCTCAACCTTTTTCAATTCAATGTTAGAAAGATACTAGAAATAATTTACATATAATTAATTTCCTATTTTATAGTTTTATTTCCTGAAATAATGAAGATTTCCCTGAAGTGAATTTGGTCCAGGTGAGGCTCGAACTGCCACCTGAGGACTTTTGGGTAAAACGTGTTTACAGACAACAATGTGTGTTTCTATCTTGGATGCAGAAACACACATTCGCCTGGATGGATGGATTAGTTGACAGTTTTTCCACTGATTGATTAGTCATTATTAATGCTATGATCGTACTAATTCCCTGATGTTTGACTCTGGTTGCTTGTCTCCCATCAGAAAGCCATCCTCAGATACAACCCCAAGTATGAACGCATGTGGTCTTTTGATGCACTTCAAGGATACATGAAGGTCAGTGGTCACCTCTTAAAGTGACATGATGAGTTTTATGACTGATTAAAGCCACAGGCAGTGAGAAATGTCTCATGCTTTCCTTCTAGAATGACATGGAACACCTCTACGAGAAGCTGTTTCCGAAGATCGCTGCTCTGGCCTTGAAGCTGCCTCAGGAAGTCAAGAAGGTACCAAGTGCACAGAACAGACAGTGAAGAGTCAGAGGCTTAGGCTGAAATTGGACTGAACTCACAAAAACACAGACTGGATTGGACTCATACTTTTAAGTCCAATCTTTAGACTGGACTCGGAATCATTTTTATATAGCAAGGGTGAAATCAAGCCTGGAGGATTAGTTAATTGAGTTAATGGTCAATTTTGTCGCTTCAGTTCGGGTCCAGCAAGGTTAATGTCAGGCTAAGTTAACTGGATCTGTCTTCAAATTGCTCTTTTGTTGCTACGTTGCTATGCAGTAAAACTAAACCGTAATCGGAGAAGGAAAAAAATGTGGCATTTGGTGAGAACCGAACAATAGATATAAAGGTAAAAGTGAAGAGAGACGTATTACTGCTTGTACATAAAACACAAAAGACCATAAAGCCAATGAACAACTGTACAAGCATGAGTCAATATGCGGCGCAGCAGTTTACCGTCCAGCTGCATTTTTGTCTGCTGCGACGCTGTAAGGCAGCCAGACCCACCATGGCGTTCGCTTGTGTGGAAAAGAAAAAGTACAGCAACATTCATCGTATGTTTAAGGTCGTTGTCCAACAGTTTGTGTCTGTGTGTCCAGGCCATCCCTCTGCTGCAGCGCCACCAACCAGCCTCCATCACTTTGTCCCAGGGTCAGATTTCCTGTCTCCTGGCCAACGCCTTCTACTGCACCTTCCCTCACCGCAACACCACAAACCCCAAATCAGAATACCACAACTACCCCTTCATAAACTTCAACAGGTCAGCAGACGCAGCGTCGCCCGCTGCCCCGTCTTTATTTAATGTCCCGACTGATTCTTCTGATTCTGCTCAGATTATTCGGAAGTTGGTCGGTGCGGAAGAACGAGAAGTTCAAGGCCATCATGCACTACTTCAACGTGATGACAGACGAGAGTGAGTGCAGAACCCGGGCGTGCGTTCGCGGGACACGGACGTCGCTGGACGCTTGTGACGATCTGCTGATTTCTCTTCAGAATCCAAGCCGGAAGGCCTGGTGACGTTCGAGAGGCGGTGGCTCAGCGACGCAGAAGCTCCGACCTGGGAGAAGTAATGTCCAATTTGAATTAATACAAAAAAATGAAAACATTCTCACAGCGATGACGCTGTTACACACTCCATTACTTTTGGTAGCATTGATTGAAAAGATTTTGTAAAAAAAAAACCAACAACAACAACAAAACATAAGTTATAAGTCAGTACTTAGCTTTGATAGTTCGTAATTTCTGGAAATCTACCACTGATGACTCTGTGTCGTCATATTCGTCTCTTTTGCTCAATTCTTTCCACTGCTGTTCATCTTGTCAACAGGACATAAGTTGTGATTTGGTATATAAGTGACCTGCGTATCTGTTCTTCCAGAATGAACTGCTTTGTTCGCACTGATGAAGATTTATGGGCCAAAAATGCTAAATGTAACAATAACATTAATAATTTAAGCCAGATCCAGCTGCTGGTGGACACATCTTATGATTTGTGTTGTATTCAGATTCAGTTCATGTGTTTTGTAGAACTCCACTTCTATTAAAGGGGCAGTGTTATGCAAAAGTTACTCTTTTGAGCGTTACAGAATGCCATGTTAGTAACTCGTCACAAACATACCTCAGATTACAAAGTCAAATGTCTTTGAAGCCATATTTGCAGCATTTTTATAATTTGTATAACAAAAACACACAGCACTGCCCCTTTAATGAGAATGACCAGAAGAAGAAGGTATTGAAGCAGCCATATTGTTTCTGTTTCTGTTACACTTTAGAAACATGCAACCAAACCTTTCGACCCGATCAGCTCAGGCTGATCCACACTGTTGTGTTTGCTTGCAGTTGCAGACACACCCTGCACAAGCTGCATGTCACATCAGAGGGTCGGATCGAGGTCGAAGGTGCACATTTGCTTCAGGTGAGAAAGGGCCTGCAGCTGAGAGGATCCACAGCTGTTTCAGCTGAGGCTTGACTGGAGTGTGTGTGTGTGTGTGTGTGTGTGTGCGTGCGTGCGTGCGTGCGTGCGTGCATGCGTGTGTGTGTGCGTGTGTGTGTGTGTGTGCAGGTGGACTTCGCTGCCAGCAGGATAGGCGGGGGTGTCCTGGACTCCGGCCTGGTTCAGGAAGAGATCTTGTTCCTCATGAACCCGGAGCTAATCGTAGCTCGTCTCTTCACAGAGAAACTTGACAAGGACGAGTGTGTCATCATTACAGGTAGAAATGAAACACCTCAGACTAGTTGTGTGTTGTGCAGCTATAGGTTTAGGTTTGACTATGAATAATAAAGTGATTAATTCAGATTGAAATGACCAAGTCGAGGCGCCACAGGGTTAATCAGGAGACAGTAGCCAAATAGTTTTCAGTCTCATTTATTGTTTTATGAATATCTTGGCTGATAAGGTTTGGTATTAAATGGCAATATATAAAAAATTAAAATCAACAACTAATAAAAATGATATGATGACATCACAGTCCAGGATGAATGCTGAATATTTACGGTCAAGTTTATTTTGAGAAATTTTGCAACAATATAAATCAAGGTTTTTTGCCACCTTTCAGCTATTTAAAATTATATTTAAAATCTGGGAAAAAATAAATAAATAAAACCTATATTTCAAGACGTCTGATCAGGCCGTTGCTGTGTCACATCTCACACGTTGCCTCTGTGTTTTTGCCTTCTGTTCCTCAGGTACGCAGCAGTTCAGCTGTTACTCTGGTTTCAGTGACAGTTTTCAGTGGTTGGGTCCTTATGATGATCACCTTGAAAGGTGTGAGGTGTTTAAAAAAAAAAGAAGAAGTAGAATGTTTTCAGTTTGTACTGGTTTTCTGATTTCTTTGAACTATCTCTGCAGAGACGAGTGGCGTCGGCTGAAGCGGCAGATTCTGGCCATCGATGCCTGTCACTTCAAACATCCCATGGATCAGTACAACATGGAGAAAGTTAAACGGGAACTGAACAAGGTGAGATCACTGTGTTTGATCACATTACTCTTAATATCTGGTTTGGAGCTTTGGGTTGCGGATACATGCTTCGCTGGTTGGGTAAACCTTTTCTGTGTTCGTTCTTCCGCATCTTTTTCCTCAGGGGTTCCTCAAGGTTGAATTCTCAGTCCTCTCCTTTTGTCATTATATCTTCTCGTTTTAGAGTTGATCATGGCATCAGATTTATTTCCCCCTTTTCCAGCCATGCTCACTTTAACCTCTTAAAGAACCTTGAGAACATCATGGACATGAATTCTCTGATCTTTAATGAAAAGAAAACAGATGGAGTTTCCTTCAGTCCTAACAGATATTATTGATAAAAATGAATTTAGATTCGTTCGACTGCATGCAGAGGAGGCTCTGATTGCGTGATGCAAAGTGTGTTTCAGGTGTTTGTCCCGCTGGTCCAACTTTGCTCATGCCTGATCAAATGGACTTTGCCATATTAGTTAAATGTACATACATTTCAAGTTTTTTTTTTTTTTTTTTTTTTTTTTGCATCTGTGTGTTTTCCAAGGCCTACTGTGGGTTCAAAGGTCACCATGGTCATGAAGAGCCAGACATCGCCACAGGAAAGTGGGGCTGTGGAGCCTTCAATGGAGACCCAGAACTCAAAGGTAAACTCTGTTACTCTAATGTTGGGTCTGTATTATTATTATTATTATTATTATTACTGTTAAATACAGCACTAAAACAGGCAAATGTTTTCTGTATTTGGCTGCTCTTCATCTGACAGAGTGACTGAGTGATGTGCTGTGTTGGTTTGCAGCTGTGATCCAGCTGATGGCAGCAGCAAGGGCCCGGCGGGGTTTGGGCTTCTTCACGTTTGGAGACCACGATCTGTGCAGAAGGCTGCAGCAGACGTACCACCTGCTGGTCACAAAGAATATGACAGTTGGTGAGGAGCTGAGTTGAAGCTGTAGTGACTATGAATGGTGTGTTAGAGACAACAAGTAAAAAAAAAAACTGTTAAGTTTATTGAAAAACAGAAGTCCCAGCTTATCTTAATGACAAATAATAGGGCAACTTAAAAACAAAAAATACATTGGGAAGACATCAGTTGAAAACTGGAATAATTAACAAAAAAGAATGGCTGGCCCTTCAGATGACCTGTAAACATTTGTCTCTATGAAAAATGTCAGCTTCCCAAAGCTCACCGTAAGGACAGCAAATATATTGGGTACTGTTGTGGCGCAGGGGTTAAGCACAACCCACATAAGGAGGCCAAAGTTGTAGGTTCAATTCCAGGCTGGTGACCTTTGCCACATGTCTTTCCTCTTATCTCATTAGCCACATTACTGTCAATTCACTAACAAATAAAGGCCACTGAGCCAATAAAACCTTAAAAAAAAGAAACTAGTTAAGCTTGAAATGGTAATATTATATTTTAATCATTAAAAAATCAACAAAACTTCAGTAGCAAACCACGCTAATCACTTCAGCCGCTGTCTCATTACAGAAAATGAATTGGGAACAACACCGCCCTCTGGTGGACAAACATACAAATAAAAAATTGATGACTCAGACTTGATATGAAATCTTCACAAAAGTAATCCTTTTATTTCCTGAAAAAAGATACTATAATAATCTGAAATTCTTTATCGTTGGTGAGTTTTATTTTTCTGAAAAGCTTCTTAAATAATAGGTCATCAGTTTCAAAAAACAGGAAGGTTTTACACTGACACAGTTAAGATGAAAATTATTCATATTGGCAGATTTATTTTAAATTAATCTTAGTTTTACCAGTTTTTTTTTCTCCTGATGTTCTGTTAGCAGAGTGACAGTAGAAACATGCAAAAAGTTGAACAGTATGTACAAGAAAAAGTTAGATGTTTAGTGTAGTGTCAGGAAAGATTCATGTAAGAGACAAACTTCTTTGCTGAAGAAAATAATTAAAAATTGTTTTTAAACAAACCTTTAGAAAAATGTTACTGCCTCTCAGAATCAGTGGTGTTCGTGTCAAGGTTGCTCTTCTCTTGCACACCTTTCAGTAAATTACTTGTCATGTAGAAATATAATTTCTTTCTATCTAAAATAGTCCTGATTTAAATTGGGACCATTTTTACTCTGTTATTCTGGTCAGTAGTACAGCAATGCAAACCAATTATGCAAGTAGTTTGGGTCACTGTAAAATTAGAGAATAGTCAGATTCACAATTGAATCATCCATAAGCAGCTTTATTTTTTTATGTAAATGTTGAGCTGTGTCTTTACACATTTTACTATCTACATTAAGAGCAGTAAAGTAACCAGTACTGGCAGAACTAATCTCTTTTTAATCTGCTTCATGTTCTGTTTCTTTTCAGGCCAGCTGTACAGACATCTGGGCAAGTACTGTGATCTACGTAACAAACCCCATTTCCACGAGGGTTTGTTTGACTATCTGAAAAAAACCCAGAGTCAGCTCTGAAGTATCAAACTGAAGAAATTAGTTTATAATGAAGAAAACAATACTTCTGAAATAGGCTTTTTTTGCACATTTTGACACTGTGATTGAGAACAAACGGTAACGCATCAGGACGTCTAAAGCAATTGATCAATCAAATGACATTCACTGTTCTGAGAAGCTGCCAGAGCCTGAATGACCAAACATCCCATCACTGAATGTTTGCTCCTGATACAGGGAGCTTAGTTTTTAGTTCTATTTGTGTTAAAAAGTGAATGTTCTGTAGTGTTATCTTACCTCATCTTATCCAGATGTTTCTGGATTAGAGAAGTTTCAGAATAAACCGAACTAGAATCTTTTTTTTTTTTTTTTGTGCGTTTTAACGCGTTTTCTCTAGTTCTACACTCTGTCTGGATTTCACTACAGCTTTCATTTACAGTACGTTAGTTTGGCTTTCTCAGTGAAATAATTAAACATGTAGTTGTTTTTTCAGCAGCACTGATGGAAATCCTTTATTTTGTTCAAAACATTAAAACAGGCAGCACCAAATGAAAATAAATACATGCTGTAATTCAGAGGTTGTGTGTTTACTGACATATCTGCATCAATTCTGTGACGTTTCCATCGAGACAGGCTATAATGTGATTAAAGAGGGATGTTTTGGACTGGGAAGAAAAAAAAGCCTCGGTGATCTATGCATGTCACAGATCTGTTAGATTTGCAGAAGTGTCTTCAGCTCCTAAGCTTGACTTTGTACCTCAGAGGCAGATTCAGCTGTTGAACTTCTAATGAAACGTTTTTTAAAAACAACAAACGTTCTCAGTGTTGCATTTTTATCCAGAAAGCCTCACCTCAATTAGCTGTACGCATGGAGCAGCAGCAGATCTTCCCATCAACGTTTGATGATATTAATAACAAAAACATTTTCAAATAAAAATTGAATAAAATGATTTGACTGCTTTTATTTATAACAAAACAGCAGCAGAATTTCCTCTCTGATGTTAAAATCACATGTAAATGTTAATTAATAGCTTAGTTGGCAATTTTTCTAAGTTATTGAGTATAAATCAGTTCTTCCTGTCCAACCAGCATCTCTAAAACTTTTAAAATATTCCGTATCATTTTTCTATCTGATTTTTCTCAGTCAAATTCTCATAAAACAATCATTCATATTTTTGCAGGTTGGGAGGCAAACAGTGCTGACAGAGAGGTAAAAATGATAATTTTTTACCATGTTACCAATCTGGCTGTTCACGTCTCTTAGTTTCTGAGGTTTAAATTTTCCCATAACCATCCTTTTAATAGTTAGATATTCTTTAACTGATTATTGTTATTCTGTGTGCCAGCAAATATTCCACCAAAAACAATAAAGGAATGAATCAGCGGTTGTGTGGTTTTCCTTTGGCATCGTGTCTCACTGTGAACACACAGCCTTCATGGTGACGGTGACAGCAGTCTGGTCTGTGCTGTGCTGTTTCTGGGGCCGTTACAGTTTCCCTGGGGAAGTTTCCGGATTGAAGGCTGCGTCCAGTAAACGCTGAAGCTCCGTCAGGTGAGTGTGTTTGTTTCCGGTAGCCGGAGCTGCAGCGGGCTCACGGCCAGCGTACCTGCACAAACACACATGCACTAACATCAAAACAGAAAATATGGGGTTTTTTTGTTTGTTTTTTTTACATCGACCTTGACTTGATCAGTCCAACATGTCTAACGATGCGGCTCTTAAGACACCAGGATACTTCAGTGAGTGGTTCTAACTCAAATGCGTATCGGATTGTCATGTCGCATTTGATCTGTCTTTCACCTCATCAACGTGACACATTCTGAATTCTGCGCCAGAAGAAACCAGAAGTAGTAAATCCTTACGTTAACAATGGATGGAAATCATAATTATGAGATTATGAAAGAAGTCTGTTCCACTACAAAGAATCACATCACAAGCCCACGACTAATTTTGACCATTCTGGATTTCCATGTGGAGTCTTTCAAAAGTACTGCGTGATGCAATAATGCGCAGTTTACTGGGAATGCATCTTGGGAGTATCTGAGAAAGTGCTGTAAAATATTTTCTGTATTGTTGTTATGCTCTCAAACAGGAGCGGCACTTTAAAATGGACTTTTGAGCATTTTCAGTGGATTCAAGATTCCCAGGACTTGGAATTACGATTCTATTTTGAATCAGTCTTTTTTGCATCTTTTTTGTTTGTTCACCAACAATCCTCAGAGCAGCAGCATCCACACTGAGACGTGTGTGCTATTTCCTCATTGTGTGACTTACATTTTACATAGTGGCTTAGAAAAAAAGAAATAAGGAAATGAACGCATGCCACACTTTTCAGATTACTATTTGTTAAACTAACACATTGATAGCCATGCATTTTCTTCTATGCACTACTTTATGTTAAAAATACCCCTGATGTTATTGCCAAGCACTGCATCTTGCTTCTTTTTACTTCTACCATTCTTGCATTTGTTTGGTGTGGAGTGCTTCACACCAGGTCACCTTATGTAAAACTGACCAGATGGGACGTGTGCGGTTTATTGTCGTCCGGAGGCGGGGCTTGACGTAGTCGTAGTAACCCTGGTTCTTATGCTCCTCCTGACACCAAACCAGATCGGCGTTCTGGAACCGATCAGCCTCGGCTTTCACCAGGTCGAAGGGGAACGGCGACAGCTGCAAACATTGCACAAACACGACTTTAAATCTGCTGTGGCATTGATCCAGGCCTGGAGACGAAGTGGGTTGGGTGAAGCGAAGGCAGAACCAATCACCTGCTCGATGCGGACGACGGCGACGGCGTCCTCCAGGCCTCTGCTCTCACGTTCTCTGATGAGGTCGTAGTAAATCTTGCCAGTGCAGAAAACGACCCTCCTCACGTTCTGGGGGCCGACACCTGCGGGCCCCTCATCCGGGATGAGGCGCTGGAAGTGGGTACCTGGTGGAAGAAAATACAGCATAATCTAAAACCTGGACTTTATTTCATTGGCATCATTTCCTGGATATTTTTTTAAAAATCAGTTCTTACCAGGCAGCATGTCGTCAAAGCTCGATTTGGCCTCTGGGTGGCGCAACAGCGACTTTGGGGTGAACACGATGAGCTGTTGTTTGAAAAGCAGAGAGAAGAGGAACACGTTGAGCTTTAGGAGCTGCGTGGGTTTTCACTCTGAGCTGCGGTTCATGGTGGGAGTCGCTCACAGGCTTCCTGAAGGGCAGCAGGATCTGCCTGCGCAGGACATGGAAGTAGTTTGCAGGAGTGGAGCAGTTGGCCACGATCCAGTTACAGTCATAAAGCTGATGCACCGCAAAGTCCCCTGTGACTTTCTAATTAAAAAAAATAATAAAAACCTGATTTCACCGTTGTAAAAAAAGCAACAGTCTCTAATGTTGATGCCAGATCAACAATAGTTGACAACAAATTAAAACATTAGATTATGTTTACATATCCAGAATTTAGTGTTCTTGTACAGGGACACAAACTTACAGGAAAAACATCTGGGTCGTCATTGCACATCTGTAGGAACCTCTCAGGACGGGCGGATGAATGTTCTGGACCCTGGATGTGGGGAAGAGACACAAAGAGTAGAACGCAGCGCAGCAGAAAAGCCCAGAATGTTCTCAGGCGGTGTGTGTTTGTTCCTACCATGCCCTCCATGCCGTGGGGGAGCAGCAGCACTATGCCGTTCTGTCTGACCCACTTGGCCTGTCCGGAGCTGATGAACTGGTCGATGATGCACTGAGCCGTGTTGTGGAAGTCTCCGAACTGGGCCTCCCACAGAACCAGAGCTTTGGGACTGGCCATGGCGAAGCCGAGCTCAAAACCTGCACAGATGGGATGAAAACAAACGCCACCAAAATCATGTTTAGTGTGATATGAGTTTATGGGATGGGAGTTCATAAGTTTCTTACTTCTTCCACTCACCCAGGACTCCGTACTCAGACAGGGAGCTGTTGCACACGGTGTAAGGAGCTTGTTCAGGGGAGATGAAGTTCATCGGGATGCAGGTCTTCTTATCAACGTTCTGGTCGTGGAGAACGTGATGTCGATGGCTGAGAAAAAGAGTAAAAACTATTTGATTTTTTGTGTGTTTTTTTTAACAGGACATTGTGGCCAAAGATATGAAACAATATGTTTAAGTTGAAGAATGAGAATCTGTATCCAACTTTTTTTTTAAAAGAATATATAAAACCATTAGCTTTTCGCATCTTTACGGTCCTGTATGCCACTGTGTGTACTTAGCATATTTTCATTGATTAGCATTTTATAAAGTCCTGAATTTGATTGCTGGTCAAAGAATCAGATTTTCACATAAAACGATGTAATCTAATCAGAGGAATATATTGTGATGTAAAATGTGTGGCCAAAACAAAATCCACCGCCAACAAATTTAATCAGTGTGTATATTTTGTACAAATCAAACCCAGTTACCTTCAACCAGAGCAGTTCATCAACAACCATCAGTAAAACATTTAACATTTACCAATAACATCATTTTCTGGTTTTCCCTGAGGATAATACTGTATTGTGTTAGTCTGGCCTTTGCATTCTTGTCTACTTCCACTTGATTTTAATCTCTCTTCACAGATCAGTCTGGGCTTCTCCCATTCACTTGACTTCCCTCTGCTGATTTCCACAATCGGCGAAGAGACGGAGGAATTGTGAACGGTGACATTGATTTTTTGCGCTGCCTCAGAGTTGCAGTCTGCCTGTAGTTTTAGCGATGGAAGCAGAGGAATTGAACGAAGACGTTTGTGTTGGCCAAATATTGAATTAACATTAACAGACGCCTCATTAATTTCCAGGAAGCTTCATAGCATCAAACTATCTCACGACATAGGTCACGGCCAAACGTTAGCGATTGGGTAACATTTAAAGAGTCCACGCTTCCAGGAAGCAGTCGTTTCTTAACAGCCGAGAGTCCAGAGCCTCAAAGTGAAGCGCAGAACAAGACGCTGGTTTTTACCAGGCTAGGGCCGACTGTGTTGAGCAAATAAACCATGTCACTCAGTATTTACCATTAAACATGCTGTTTTGCTGTTACCTGAACGTCCCCCTTTCTACATCCTGTCCGCTGAGACGCACGTGGATGCCCTCTTTGAGCAGAGAGCCAAAGGCCATGTACTCTCCTAGGGCCCAGTCACACACTCGTTGGCTCACCATATTTGCGCGTCCCTTCAGGATCCGACTCAAGCCTGCGGTGTGATCCAAAAAGCAGAAACAGGAAGGCTCATTAAGGCTAATTCACAACATTTTCTAACAGTCCTAATGGAGTGATGGAGGATACCTCCATGTATCGTGAAATCTTCCACCGGGACAGAGGCTGCGATGTTTCCAATGTGACAGAGCTCATCTTCTTGAATACCAGTGGAAGGACAGCTCATAGTTTTAGGTTGACCATCCAGAGTGAAAAAACCTAAAGATTTTATGGACAAAAGACATAAAAAGTAATAATAACTTGGTGGTGAAGTGTTGTAATTGAGAGACATCATAAATACCACACCACTGCTACAAAACCTGACACTTACACACGTTCTACTCAAATGTCACAACAGCTACCTGATGCTAGCCTTACTTAACCCCATGCTACACTAAGCAGATACTCTGTTGGCGCTGAGGAAGATCCACTCACCACAGCATGCTGAAAGCTTGAGGCGATTCCATCAGCAGTGGAGTCCGACTTGGTTTCTGATCATTTTAACATTTAATTATCTGACTACTTGAAGACACTCACATAGCATGCAAGTTTCAGCGATCATTAAATATGAGAAAAGACAAAAAGTAATTTTCTCAGTTCAGATGCATTAGCAGACTAAATATGCATACAAAATAGGGCCATTCATTTTACTGTGAAAAAAAGAGACACAAATCAACATTTAAATGATTCCTAGAAACAAGTTACCTGGCCAGGCAGAGTCCAGCCAGTGTTTGATGTGGAGGATCTTCTCGTCTTTGGAGTGAGCAAAAGCGTCTTCACAGATTTTGTCGTATCGAGCTATTTCCTCCTAAGAGTCAAAAAGGTTTGCATTTCCGTTTCATAAATAAAAATGTGGAGTTCAAACCTAAAAACTCAATTCAGCCTTTTCAAAGTTTAGGACGGATAGAAATCACATCCTCAAAACGACAAGGCATGCTGGTGGAGTTACCTCGTAGTGTTGTGTTGTGACGACTCCTTCAGCAACGAGCTTCTCTACAAACTTCTGCAAGACTCCTTTCTGCTTCTTTATCTGCTTGTACATCAGCGGCTGGGTGAACATCGGCTCATCCATCTCATTGTGGCCGTTACGTCTGTAAGAAACCTGCAGCAGAAACAGTCCAGATAACAACCCTGTCCTGATACAGGACTGTGAATTCTCATGATTTCTGTGTTATTGTGCAATAATCTATGGATCTATCATTTTAATATTTCCAGCAATAAAATTTGACAGATACACAAGCTTCATTTCTACCATGGCGTATGCAACACTTCTGACTCGAACTTTCAGGTCACAGAGGTTTTGTTAACGGCTTTTCTCATGCAGATGTTTGCTTAAATGTTTACCAGATCCACAACAACGTCTTTATGGAATGTGTTCCTCCACTCTGCCGCTACGTTGCACACAAACATCACGGCCTCCGGGTCGTCTGCATTGACGTGGAAGATCGGCGCGTTCACGACTCGGGCCACGTCTGTTGGGTACGGAGATGAGCGAGCCATCCTGGGGTCTGTGGTGAATCCAATCTGCAGGAAGCAGAGAAAGCTGTCAGGTGTTTTCATGTTTCTGCTTGGCCGACAGCTCGACATAAACTAATATAGTTTCATGTTACTGGCTTAATTAGGTTTCATTACATTTCTTCAGTCCAATTAGAATCATCATGCACAGTGCATAAGACACCAAGAACCTGGCCATAAATAAATAAAAAAAATCTGCATAATTACAGAAATCAAAATAGTGATGTAAGTAAAGTAAAAATATGTCACTATTTTTGCTGTGTTTTAATAGACATAAGGAAAAATAGAAAAGTAAGCTGCAGTTGCTAAGGAGAGAAACAGGAAGAACCTATAAGATTACTGTTGTAGACAAAATAACAGTGATGCATAATTTTACATGCACTTATTCACTACTGATGTAACACTAAGCTTCTTTGACCAAATGAAAAGTATAAAAAATTATAAGTTTTATATTTTGAATTCCATGTTCACCCTGTTACATTTGTCCTGCTTCATAAATAATTTACTTTAAACGTTGTGTTATATAGTCTGTTAATCTAACGTAATGTAACTTAATGTGCAGATGTTCTGCAGACTTTGAGGATTTTTGGTTCTAAAAAGCCCTTTGTAATGAATGAGTCTTCCTCAGAAAACAAACTGTCATGATTAAGCGGGTCAGTTTCCTCTGTGAAGTCAAACCTTTGGTTGTTTTGAGGAGTTTGCATCGATCAAATACAACATGTACTCCTATTCTAGCAGCACTTCTCAGAATGACACCTAGTTCTGAATTACACTCCATGTTGATACAGTTACAAAAAAACCAATACTGAGATTTTCTGGGTTTAGGTAAGTAACAGAGAACACGAGGATTTCAAGGCATTTGATTTATCAGACTGAGCCGTCCATCTTAAACCGGATAAAAGCCTTCTGGTGAATAACCTTCTTTAACTCCTTCAGGGTTCACAAGTGAATACCTGGTTGTTGACCACCACATGGATGGTGCCATGGGTGGTGTAGGACGGCAGGTCCGAAAGGTGGAACGTCTCGTACACGATGCCCTGGCCTGCGAACGCAGCATCGCCATGGAGCAGAATAGACATCACCTGGAACAGTTTCCAAATTCAAAACCTAAAGACAGTCCTTTTCATTAACTGTCCTAAAAAGACAGTTCATGAGATTGTCTTTTTATGAACTCGTTAGGCCGCTCACCCTCTTCCCCTCTGTGTCTCCAGAGTAAAACTGCTCAGCTTTGGTCTTCCCCTGCACCACTGGGTCCACGGCCTCCAGGTGGGACGGGTTGGCCACGAGCGACAGGGTGATGTACCTGTCACTGACTCGGTTCCTCCTCCTGTGATACATGCCTAAATGATATTTCACATCTCCTGAGCCCTAAACACAGACGGTAAACGGTTACAGCTCATGTGTTTAAGCCACAGTGATCCATAAGTCTAAGTGATGACTTCGTCTGGTTTTCCAATTTGGAGGAAGCATTTCTTCTTATTAAATTTGACCTTGTGCTAAGACGCTTTTACATGTATTTATTTCAATAACAAGTTGATTTGAAAGTACTACAGTATGGGGGAAGCTAACTGGGTTGATGTCTTACTCTAAACCAGAAGAACCAGATATTCCTGATGCTTCTGGCCTCCTTGCAATAGAAAAATAAGTATAAAATGGTATTTTCCATGGTTCCATAATGACACATTTTTGTGTTAAATCTGTGATATTTAGAAGAAATCATTTTATTTATTTTTTTAATATTGCGCTCCAAAAATTAAAAGCATGTAATTAGTTGGAGTCAGTTTTATTAACGTTTAGACAGACGTCTGAGTGGCTTTGTTGTACAAACCTCATCAGCTGCTTCCAGCTTGGAATCGAACTGACAGAAGATTTGGTCCAGGTCTTTCCGGATGACGTTGGCCAGAACGTTCAGCCTCCCTCTGAAGAGAATCATGGGGGGGGGGCAAGCAACTTTTACTTTACTTTTGCCTCCCAGCAAAGTATCCAGATTTTTTGAAACATTTCACATTTTGTCATGTTGCAACTACAAACTTCAGTGTCTTTCATCTTTTTTATTTACTTTTTTCTTTTTGTTTTGGTGAAAGACCAATAAAAAGTACATACAGTGACGGCAGGGAAGGGAAATGCTGTACAGTTTTAAAGATGTTTTCCACAAAAAAAAATGTTAAAATGTGGAGCACATTTGCATTCAGTCACTATGGGTCACCACTTTGTAGGAAGTGTTTTTGCTGGATTTGCAACTTTACAAAAACTAAAAGAAAACATTATACTTTACAAACCATCTACAAACCATTTAGAAACGTCATAAGGTGCCTCTAGCGATATTTAAGTGAAGAATCTGTGGACATGAGTGTCATTTTCATGGTTGGGGATTTTTTTAAGGAACAAACCGGTTTTTGGAGCAGATTAAATTTGCATTTAGAGAAAAAAAATTAAAAACATTCTTCCACTTCAAAATTATGCACACATCACATAATGCATTTACAGTTGTTTCATGGCAAAACATGAAGAAGTTCATACTTTTTTTGAGAGTCTTTGAAAAATGCATTACATGTCTTCTACAGGCTTCAGCTTGGTGAACAGCAAGAGAATAAAAAGACTCCTTGTGTGCGTTAGAGGACACCAGGTGTGTCTGTCTGTACCTGTGAGGCATTCCCAGGACCACGCTCTCCACTCCGCACTGACTGGACCGGTCGATGATGGTCTTCAGGGCCGGGATGAGCGATTCGCAGCCTTCCAAGCCGAAGCGTTTCTCTGAAGACCACTTCCTCTGAAGGAACTCCTCGAACCTGCCAAAAGTTGTGACCACTGTGACGCTTCACAGAACTCTGGCTTCATTACCTCTGGACTCAGAGCGTGTAGAACCCACAGACTGACCTGGTGGAGCGGATCATCCTGCCCAGCAGAGTCCTCTTCTCTTCCGAGGAAAACTGCATAATTCCTGGAGTTTCGAACTTTTGCCTGATCCACTGGCACTGCTCTACGTCATTTATGAACATGAACTCCACCCCGATATGCTGACAGTAGGCCATCTAGAAAACAGACATGAACATGTATTGGTTTGAGACAGAGCTGGGCTATAGATAAATGGTGGATGATACTACAGGATTGTTGATGGGTTTTTTTTTAAATAGGGCTGAACAACAAATCAATAACAATACATGTCGCGACCGCACGTCATTGGAATGTATGTAAATATTCCTATAAAGTAGAATTATATTAATACAAAAGTGTTCCAAGTAAATGTCCAAGTTGTTTTTGACACAGACGTTTTGAAGCTGTTTTAATGTGTGTGTGCACTAATCAGAGCTCTACCTCAAGGCGGCGAATGATCTCTCTGAGTGGGAGAGCGTTGTCATTGCCGCCAATGAAAGTGCTGGCGGGGAGCCGGAACACCTTGTCCAGGTCACCCTCAGTCAGGCCGTACGAACCTGGAGCGAACAAGAGGCACAGGAAACTGAATCGAACTGAATCTAAACCAGATCAGTGGAGCCATGTGGAGTGGAGCTGATTTAAAGTAGAATGGCAAACCTGAGACAGAAACAGAAACTAAGAACAGATAAAAGTTTAGAATTTCTGCCTTTATCTTATCCAGTATGGAAGATCACATTCACTGACAGACTCCTGTTGACATGACTTCTCACATGAATAACACCTACATATCCCCCCCAACCCCTCATGTGGGGCCAAAGTTGCACCATTCTTGAATTACGGTGGACCGAACAGACCTACAAATGTCCAGCAAGAAGCACTTTGGACACCCTGATCTAAACTTTCTTTATCACACGATGCGATAACTCACTTAACAAGGAACAGAAAGTCCAGAAAGTTTCCTCAGGGTTCTATGGTAATCATTTATTATGTTAACAACTCAAACATTAACTTTATGGATCTGCGAGCTCCTAATTACATTCTTAAAAGTTTCCTGGAAAGCAGGAATTTAAATCTGGACCAAACCTCCAGAAAATTGTAAAGCAGCCGGAACACTGAGTTCCTTTAAATCCAGACTAAAAACCCACCTGCTTAGAGTTGATTTTGAAACATTATAAATGAAACATTAATCGACATTTTGATGTGCAACCATGACATTTGACAAAATGTATTGTTTCAATTATTCACTTTGTGTGTTTGTGATTTTTCGATGTAAAGTACTTTGAACTAGCTTGTTGCTGAGAAGCTAAACTATGTAATTGGTCAAACTGTAAACACACATGGTGGCTGTTGTTTAAGCGTACCTATTCACAATGAGCCTGACTTTCTTGAAATCTTTAAAGTACTTTTGAACAACATGTCTGAAATTTTCTAAAGGTTTTTCTTCAGACTTTGGAAAATGACTCACATTATTCCAGTGCAGTGTTTTCACCGATCCACTAACCTTTGACATGTTAGCTAGGGGAATATCATTTTTAACTTACATCTTTGGACAATTAGTTTCAGTGACTCATGTTTCCAACTTAATTTGTTCAACCTATGAAAATCTTTTACGTTTTCATATTTTCAGCACAAAGAGATACAAATCTCTTTGTGGGCTAAAATTCACCAATCCTTACTTATTGTCAGAATAATGTGGAATAATTTCTCACTGGGTGTTTACTGCAGAAGATGGGCCACAAGCTGAACAACATCAACCAATCAGAGCGCACAGATCATTCGGGAGCCACAAAGTGACAAACACACAAACTGCTGGTTAAGGATCCAGTAGAACGCCACACATTTAATTTCAGAGGTCAGATAATGCAGCGACCTTTTGCTGACCTCAGTGACCCCTCTCACTGAAAATGAACAAAACCACAAGTGAGCATGGAAACATCCAATCAGAGGTCAGAACAATCAGCAGGTTGTGAACTCAGAGGCACCGGGCCTTTCATAGGGAACAATGACCACATGTGTAACACTGAACAGCAAACACACACCTTTCACACAGTCCGGTGGATACTTCCTGTTTACAGTACCAGTTTGCTTTTTGCTTTTTTTTTTATTTTATTTTTTTTAGGACCAAACTCTAATATTTCTCTGGCTTTGGTGAAACTGAAAACACACACAGTCTTGACAGAAGCAAAGCGCTGTGAGAGGACACACTGCACAGCTGTGCGTTTACTGAACTGCTGACATCATCATGATAACATGCTTAGCCTATCAGAAGCCAGAGCATCATAAAGCAAGAACATAGTCTTATCTCAGAGGGAACATGGCTTTCTGTACAGGATGTTCAGAAAGCAACTGCAGCAGCACGAGTTCTTGTGACACATGAAAAATTAATGATAACATCACTACCACTGATAATAACCATAATGACAACAAGAAGTAGTAGTTGAGGTTGATAAGGCATCAGTTTTGAGGCAGTGAGGAAGCTTGTGTTTATCTTTCTGATTTATCTGGTTTGCTTAATAGAAAATAATTGTTCCATAAAATCACATTAAGGGTTTATAATTTCAGATAGGCCATAATCTACAGTAATTAATGTTCTCAAATTATTACAGCCATACCCTGACAGTATGATAACAGATCATGTGCACACACAAATTTCAATTTCCGGTATGAAGACTGTTTTCACTGACACTTTCTGGGCTTCCCTAATTACTATTATAGCCAAAGGTTAAATTCTGAAACAATTTATTGCTGTCTTACTGGATCTTTGTTGAGTGTTGAGTGACAGACACAAAACAAATAAATCACTGAATATAAAAAAACATTTATTTGACAGACAGTGTGAAATAAATACAGGATTCACCTATTTAACTTCACAATTTGTCTCATCAACTGATCATTTCCCTCTCCTCGAGGTCGAAGAAGCATCCCCACACCCTCATGCTGCCACCACTATGTTTTTATCTTGGGATGTTGCGTCAGGCTGATATGCAGCGTTACTGTTTGCATCACAAATAGGATTTTAAATTTTGGTGAAGAACTCAAATTTGAGAGTGGTCTTACATTACTTATTAAAACGTTGACTACTTTAATCTCTCTCTCTCTCTCTCTCTCTCTCTCTCTCTCTCTCTCTATCTCTATATATCTCTATATATATATATATATATATATATATATATATATATATATATATATTCAGCCCCCTTGTGTAAATGCTTTGCAAAAGCATCTAGAGATTAGATATCTAGTTCTAGCAGAACATACATTACTAAATAAATTAAGATCCTAAATATACTGACCCAAATTTAAAAGGTAGTCAGAGACGCTTAGTGAAGTGAAATGTAACACAAATGGTGCAGGGCTGTTTTTCTCACCAACATTTTGAAATCCAACAGTACACGGAGCATCATCGAAGTCCACACAGCTGATACCGAGGGGGTCCAGCTTGGCTATGTGATGGCCCCGTACCTGCAGACAGACGGATGAGAGTCGGTGAGGTTAGAATGTCTAAACTCACTCCAGCAGGTCACCTTCATGATGTCAACATGGCTGGCCCAGTTTTCTGCCCTCATATCGGAAGTGGGTTAAAGGGTTTAAACCAGCTGCCTGTTTTACCCGAAGCCAGCTTTCTTCCTCAACAAAATACTTTCAATCTGAAAAGTTTTCTGAACATCTGATGTGTTTGCCCAGATGGAAATAACCTTTATGCAACTTTAAGACTCACTGAAAGGATGTTTAATTAACACAAACAGAGAAAAAAACTGGGAATTCACCAGTTCACTTTTTTTACTTTCGATATCTGAGGTCTATTATTGGCTGATACCGATCTGATACAGAAAAACAACAGAATTTTTTTGTTTTTCAAACAGACATAAATGTGCTGAATTACAAATTTATTTGATAACTCTGCACCAGTACAGCAGAAAGACACTGAAACTAACTACAACAAATTTTTAGAATGATTCAGAAAGTGCAATTAAGAAATTGAAATATATTGTAAAATAAATAAAGTATTATGTTGCTCAGAGCACAAAACAGAAATAAACTGAATTACATTTTATTAGGACCAATAAAATATTAATATAGGATCTGCATATCTAGTTTTCAATCATGTTTTTGTCTTTCTGAAAGTTATAAAGCTTTAAGATATGTGATTATTCATCATGGTGGAGAAAATTCTGCTATGAATGTAGAAGTAACAGTTGTATATATGAGATAAAAGTAAATTTGATATTGATCTGAAACAACATTTATCATACGATAGTGTTTGTTGTTTACCTGATAGGCTCTAATCAGTGACTGCACTGCCAGGTGGTCTTTCACCAGTTTCTCTACATTGGGCTGAGCTCCCATCAGCATCCGGACGCCCGTCGTTCCATCAGAAGGCCTGCTGATCAGCGGAGGGCTTTGGTACGCCGCACCGGGCGGCGCTCCAGCATTTGCATTCCGAAAGAAAATATCCCAAGACTGTGAGGAGAAAAAGAAAAAAAAAACTGCTGTTTTTATGCTCATCTCATTTCCTGGTGGTAAACAGTGACTGGAAGTTTCTGTTCACTGCCAACAGGCTTAGACTGCCCCTCTCAACAAGACACAAGGACTCAGCTACTACCAACCTCAGTCAGTTATGATTTATGTACATTAAGATCATAGAAGTTACTTTATCTGACTAAATCAATCACACACATAGTGCTGCACAATTTCTCTATTACGTTAGTCTTTCAATGCACAGCATGCAGACAGACATATTATCTTGTAAACAAGTACCACTGGTTCAGGTCAAGTTTGACAACATTCCAACATCCGGAAGCAATCAAACCTCACCAGTTTTATCTACGTTTTTGGATTGTTGTAGAAGACTTTTGTTGTTGTTGAAAATGTTTTACTCGCAAAACCAAAACTAAAGTAGATTTACATTAAAATCAGAAGTCACATGAACTGTAGGTAACATCATTAACTAATGAGCATTAACCTCATTCTCCACCTAAGTTTCTAACAGAAGAAGGAAGTAATTAGATTACAGGAGTGAGAAGCTTTTAGGATCAGCTTTCTGTGCTGGATGCTAGCTAACAGTAAGCATGGTGCACGAGTTACTTTACAGCTGCATTCAAACCCTGACAGCAGGCAACTCAATTTGTTAGCTGAAAACTGATTGCTGGTCAAAGCCTATGTTTGACCTTTTTGTGACGTACACTTCCCCACTGTAAAAGTCTGGTCACTGAGCGTAGTTTAATCCATTTAGTGGAGTTCATGAGCTCACTGACAGCTAATGTTTTACTGTTCCACCCAGACATGAAGATCTGCTCTGATGTTTTTGCTGTCTTGTTAAGCATGCGTCATAATAACAAGGTTCGTGGCAGCTCTCATCATTTTCACCAGCACAACAAAACGTATTGTTATAATAACATAATTTGAGGTATTACCAAGAAAGGTGACCTGTTAACTAATAACTATTTTCTTCGACAAAGAAGCTTCACTCCTGTAATAATGTTAATTCTGAGTCTCTACTTCAATAAAAATGCACTCACAAATAAACAGGTGGAGGATCAAAGTCTATGGTGTAAACTTTGACCCACTGAATCCTGGACATTCATCTGTTAGTCCCCAAAATCTCAGCTCGGTTTGGATGCAATCAGTGCAAAGGGCTCAGACCGGATGTGATGACAAATGTGCATAAGGTGAGCAGATCCAGGGGAGAAGGTCATTTACTCCTGAGAGACTAGCGTTCCCTGAATTTTGCCTGTCAGGCAGAGATTGCTAACAGAGAAGCTTCCAGACAGCCAGCAGCTGAAGGAAACGTCAGAAGGACAAACATTCCTGTGATTAAGCTGCGCACTTTGAGTTCTAGTATGTACAAACATGACTGCTGCATATATTTTCTTCTTAATAATGTTTCGTGGGATTCTTCCTTAATATACCATAAAATGCTGCAATGCTTCAAAATGATGTTAATTAAACACAAGGTAATATACTGAACTTCAAACCAAGATTCATTTAGACCTGTCACAAATCAACTGCATGATAAATTAGAAATAACTCTATCATTTCCATTTGCATGATGTACCGTTTTTCTCTTTTTCTACCAAAAACTAGATGATAAAAGTCTTCAGCCTGGGGCTTTGGTTTCAACTATACCCTTTCATGAAGGGCAATTTTGTTTCTCAAGACTTTATAATTCATTTCACTTGTTGTTTCTGTTGTTTTGTTTATTTACTTTGGATAATGTCTTCCAGTTCCAGTGTTAAATGTCCATTAGAGTTTAAAGTTTATTGATTATTGAGGACAAATTCTTCCATTATTGTTCCATTGCCATTATTTTAGTAAAAATGGTCCTAAAACAACAATGTTATTGGTTATTGCAAGAACTTCTGAGACAATTTATTGTACAGTTATCAAAACCTCAAAGTTTTGAAAACCTGTTTGGTTAGGCTGAACAAACACTCCTCCCTTTCACAGTTTTGAACACATGGAATGTCAGTTTTTTTTGTCATTAGCTGCCATCTAATATGTCTGCCTCAGTACCTTATGCACATTCCTAGGATCCTCCAGCCAGGCGAAGTACATCTCCTCCACATAGTTGGAACTGGTGCCGTTGAGAAAAGGTTCAGCAGCCACAGATGCACTCAGGCTCCTCACAGGCTGAAATGTTCTTGCACCTCCTTCCAGCGCCAGCAGTCGGGACTGTGGCGCGCTCTGAGCTGTCTGTGCGGCAGCTAAAGGCCCAAGCCTCGCAACTGTAGTCCTTAAGCGGTGCATGGCCGCAGGTCAGCCACGGCTCCTGACACCCCAACTCTCCTCTTGGAAGAAAAACGCAGCAGAACGTGAAGCGTAAGGAGACCCTGTCAACATGAGATCTTCTCCCGCTCCGTTCCTGGAGGTGTTTTTAAATTGCTGATGCGAGAATTTGTACAGATGTTGCTCCTCACTCTCTCCACAGGTTTCAGTCGAGTCTAAAAAGGACAGAGGTTTATTAAACTCTTCTAAAGAACAATGCAGGGCTGAATTAATACAAATGTCACTCTTCCCACATTGTTTTCCATCATTTTTGAGTTCACTAATTATTCCAAGCTGAAGAAACTGCTGACCAAATGATGAAATACTTGGGCCACTGCAGATAGGAAGAAAAGAGAGGAGGACATTTGTGCCAATAACCTCCAAAATTTTGAGATCAATTTCAGAAATATATCTACAAAAACAAGGAAAATTCTAAAATGTGCTAGAAAAAACTATTGACATTTTTGGATTGATCTCAGAAATTTACTAAAAGAAATCTGAGAAATTTCTATGTGTTTATCAAAAAAATTTCAGAGGTTTTTTTTTTGGGTGGGAATTTACTATCAACCAATCAGTCAATCAAATTTAATTTGTATAGCACATTTCAGCAACAAGGCATTTCAAAGTGCTTTGCTACTTTTCTTATTCCGTCTACAGTGGCTCTAACATGCCATCATAAGACAATGTCAACACAATATCATTTGTCAAATGTGTCAACACTGAAAATGTTCTTTTCAGATCTTACTGGATTTGTGAAATTGTGCCCCTGGGGACACAGTCAGCTGTCCTGATGTGACCACTGAGTTATGACCCAGATGTTTGGTTGTGCAGTAGCAGTTTTTAGGTAGGATTCAATGAAGAAAAAGGAATAAATAAATGAACAAAAATTTCAAAAAATATTTTGGTTCAGACAGCAGAAAGCAAAGTCTTTCATTTCTGAAATGAATTTATTTCATGATGTCAGAGATAACTCTGACCATTGAGACATTTATTCCTGGACTCTCTTTACACCTACAAACCGTAGGAATGGGATTTCAGAGAATCTCAGCAATTTTAAAGCTGCTTTGAACAGAAATCAGTGTTGAAAGCCTTGAGGCATTTCAACACTAGATCTAGTCTAGTGTTGAAATGCAGACTTCAACACAGACTGCTTCATTTAAAAAAAAAAAAAAAAAGAAACATCATAAAGTACAGCAGCCAGGACCAGAGCTAAATGAATATCTCGGTTTGTTGGTTGGTTTGTTGTTCAATATGTTTTCATTGAATAGACTTTGTCAAAGCAGTTACTTTAAATAACAGAAACATTACAGTATTGCTGTAGAATCATCATCTCTGTCGACGTTCACGTCTCATTAACCCCATAAAGTTGTGGCTACGAGGGTCGAGGTGTCAAAGAATAAAACGTCGTAAACGAATCTAAACATTAAAAGTAAAATAATATTAATGTACTATTTACTCCTCAGGCGGGTCTAACTATGACAACTATGTCTAGACTGAAAGCACAACTTTGCTCGAAGACCCGCAAACAAACCGGAAGGTCACGAGGAGGAGACTTTAAACCTTAACGTGTTCAAACAAGTTAAACTCAAGCTGAAACCCGAGGCAGACGAGTTGGTATATTTCGGTTCATTACCTTTTTTTTCCCTTTTTTTTTTTTTTTTGTTCCCTGTCGGTTTCCCGGCGCTTCTCTCGGCCTCGCGCTCCGCCGCTGCTGCTGCTGGGAATCAGCGAGTCCTCCAGGTAGCGCGCGCGGGTGAATGAACGGGTGCGGAACCGCGGGCGGTCGCGCGCCTCGCCTTTCTGTGTGCGGTAAATAGCCGCCGCGTGCGCTCCAGGCTCAATCACTTCACCTCTAAATTGCGTCACGCGGTGATGTAAAAAAAAAAAAAAAAAAGGAAACTCCAATGGAAAGGTGATGAAACACGTTCCTTTGTCAACAACTCCAGTTGTATGGAAATAAGATGCTTAGATGCACAATTGTTCGTCTAAAAAGACAAAAAATAAAATAACATCAATTAGTCTTGTACGGTTTTTATAAAAGAAATACAGTTGCAGTGCCTTCAAACCTAAAAAAAATACAGAAGAAAAAAAGATCAGTTTCTTCTTCAATGCCAAGCGTTTATGAGATATTGACCAAAAACATGTGTGCACAATCACTTCTAATTACAAACTACAAACTACAGAGGAGAAAAATATATAAGAATGCAAGGATAATGCAGTCATTTGTTTATGAGTTCAAAAAGGCTGCTTTGTGTGACAGTGTAGATTTACTTATTTTGCATCATAGTGAAGTGGCTGACAGCTTAGGCTGGAAAGTGTTTAGTGTGATTGTCATAGAAACAGCCTGGGGGAAGAAAATGCTTCGGTTTTGGCCGCTTTATCCAAATGAAAGTTCCCATCGCAGCAGTTTGTGTCCAGGATGTGTGGGATCTGCAGACCTGCTAGCTGTCACAGAATTACACAGTTCAAAAATATTACTTTTTTTCAGTTTTGAAAAAGTAATATTTGAGTCGGATTAAGGAAATCAAACAGCTCCACCTCAGAGATCACACTGAGAGGAAAAATGCTCACTTCTGAGGGACTGAAACATTCTCGTTACAATTAGACATCTGTTTTCCAGAATGCTTTAGAAAAATCTCAATTTGGAAATGAACAGACCGCCTCCTGAAATTTTGCATCCTTGTGCCGGTCATTTTCATGCTAATGTGTATTATAATGAAGTTAGTGTTTTGTCAACAAACCCCAGCGGAGATGCAAAGAAAGTCTTTGTAATACGAGAGGCTGACAGGAAGGAAGACGACAGTTTGGTGAAAGACATTCTGGTCATTTCTTAGAAAGCGAAGCGCTTGGATCTTTGAGCTGCAGTGATCGACAAAGACAGATCGACTTCCAACATTAAATCAATTTAACATGTTGGCATTCAGGCAGAAAAATAACTCGATAAAAAGGTGATGAATGAAATAAGTTAGTGAATATTTTTCACTTTTCACCAAATACATTATGTGCCTGCATTTTTTTATAGGCTACATTTTTTAAGTTTTTGATTTTTTAAGATATTTTGTCTTAAGACATGAACCTATTGGTCTTTACAGTCTATAAAGGGCACAAGGCATTAATGTTAAAAAAAAAAAACAGTCAAGAGACACATGGAAACTGGAAAAAAAATTGCAGAGATTTTCATTTCAAGTAGAAAACAAACAATAAGTATTAGTCATCCACCGCAAACATCTGGCTTTGTGGAGGAGTGAAAGGTTAGTTGGGAAACAGAGCAAACATCTCAGGTGAGGCATTATGATCAGATGAGACCAAAATTAAACATCTACATTCAAAACGTCTGTGGAGGAAAAACCTTTACACCTTTCCATTTGAAGCAAGGTGGTGGCAGCATCATTCTGTGACCTCAGCAACTGTGAAGGAATATTTGAAGACAACTGTTTGCTAGGAGAAAAGATGGAGAAATCGAGCCTAAACACACCAGCCACCATTGAACGGCTCAGGTCTGTCACAGTCTGTCACAGTTGATATGGAGGAAGCAGGACCAAAACACAGACAGGAAACTCAGGAAACAAATAGTAGCTGCGTTTCCATTGACCATATCATTTTGCATTATGACAATTTGAAAATAAATTTGCCCACTGGATTCAAAATGTTCTTTTCTCGATGAAAGGTTTGGGTGCTGGGATGAGGTGATTTTTTTGGCTGAAAATTTGTTATCTTCGCAAAAACTGCAACAGAAACACACGTCACATGATCAACAACCAGATGTTGCCGCCAGCGAAAACCACAAAGAAGAAGATGCCAGGAAGTAATTGGAGGATGATGGAGCAGCATGTTGACTATATATGGAATCAATATTGACTATATATGGAATATATATGGACTATATATGGAATCAATGATGGACATAGAAAACCGGGAAGTTTAAATAACGAGGGATGAGAAGAAAATGATATTAAATCAGGTGACTGGAAAGAGCTGCGAACAGAGCAAACTGGCAGGCTGAGGGAAGACGAATAACGAACACAAGAACAGAGACAACAAATCAGAGGAGAGAAAAACAACAATGTTCTAAGAGAGCAAAATCCAAAGGAACCAAGAGGAGAATAAAATAATTAAATCGAAAAATAAAAATATAAAAGAATTATGTATTTTGTAGGATGACAGAATAAGGACAGTACAATCCTCTATATTGTATAATGAATACAAAGGACTGAACAAAACAAGATTAAACCTAATGAATAAAAATAAACAAGAAAAATATAAATACTTAAACATCTCTGTTTTCATCCAAGCATCATAAGATATTTGTTTATGGTCTAGTCAAAGTCCAGCCCTAAATCTAATTGCCACAACTGGATATTTAGAGATGCTCTTCTATACGCTTGAGATATTTTGTAAAGAAGAATGAGACATCCCTGCTGACCTGCAGCTGTGACTGACTGAAAGATGGCTGAGTACAAATGTAGTTCAAGCTTTTCTGATTTTTATTTGTAAAAAAAAAAGAAAAAAAAAAAAGTAAATCCAGGCATTGTTTTCCCTGTAACACATTCTGTTGTGTTGGTTCATCAGATGAAATCCTAACAAATGGGGCTGTAGCATGGCAAAATGTAAAAAACATTTCCAGCTGTATGAATAGATCTGTGTGGAATGTTAGATCATCTCTAAGTAATAATGACCAGAGGCGAAACCCAAGTGGGGTGGGAGGGTTATGGCCCCCATTTCAAAAAATCCTGACCACCCCACATTATCTGTGTCTTCTATTGTTTCTGTACTTTCTAGTCCCGGATGGAATACTTTGGAGTTTGTTTCCGTCCATTCTATGTCCTGAAAAACAATCTCATTTCATAAAGCATGTCTGATTTTTGGACCAGCAGCAACCATGTGTTTTGCTTTGGAAGAGTTCAGTTCAAAATATAATTTCATGAGCACAGAGAGCTTCCAAAACAAATTGACTTTTGCTGATTCAACCCTGCACGCTCTCCAGATAAGACACCCTGACTGATGTGTGACCTGTTGTACTTTCACATCAAGCACATTTGGACGCTCAGGTTCATTGACAGGCGGCCTCACTTTATTCACTGCTACACCCAGAGCGGAGCAATAAATGTCGACCTTTGTCCTTCTGGCTTTGGCTGCATGAGAGCACAAGGTAATGACCCTCACGTTGACTCATGGATGCACTCAGAGTAATCATTAAACTGTGCTGAATGGAGATCCCTCGTGTGAAATAAGTGAAAATGTCAACACAGGATTCTGCAGCGTAATGTAATATTTGCGTGGAATATTGTGACTGGGTCGGATCTGCTGTATTTATAAGATGAGCTGTAGAGGAAAACAGAAAGAGAGTGTTTTCCTCTCTCCAGCTATTTGACCTCTGACCTTATGAAAGTCCAATTAAAGTATTTTCAATATTATCCTTATTGATTGATCACAAAGTTTATTGCACCACTATCTTCTTAATGTGTGCTGAAAGTTTCAAGAACTTGAACCTCTTTAATATTTTGTGTATTTTTGACTCTAGTTAGACAGTCAGTGCATGGGAGTAATATAGTATTGTTGAACTGAACGGAAGTAAAATGAAGAATATGTATCTACATCTATATTTTGTCACCTTCCTAAGCTTAATTCATTTTCTATCATTTTTATTTTTTACAGAAAAAAAAATATATATATATATATATTTTTTGGTAAATTATCTTTGTCATCTTCCTAAAACACAAATCGAATGTGGCTTAAAATGAAATGAAAATCTTCATATGTGGCAAGAAAATGTCGCCCTGTCCAGTAACTTGTTCCTAAACGCTGAATAGTCAGCGCAGCGCGTTGAGGAGAAGGTGATTTACAAGAAATGAATCCAGGAAGTGAATCTATGCTCTCCTGACACTGAGTCAAGATAAAAGACAGAGGAAGTCTCCACCTGGTCACTTTGTTTATTCACACTGATTACATTGCAGTACAAACGGCATAATGAGCTAAAAACATTGCTTTGCTTCACATATATTCAGTGGGTTTTGCTTTTACTTGTCTGACCTTTAGGAAAATAAAATCTTTAAATCAGATCTGTTTCATCAGGATCGACGCCTCGACTGCACTAGATAAATCAGTCCTCCGCCTTGGAGGAGAGACCGGCTTCCACAGAGACCCTCAATCTGATTAAAAAACTAATTTTATAACCTTGGCCTGGATAGAGAAAGGGAATCCGTTCTGTCCTGTTGCTTTTTTGGGGGTGGGCTAAATGGCACAAACGCTAATAAAAAGCTGGGAATCTGCAGGATGTTTTTGAAAATAACCTTGAGACAAAAGCGTGTCCTTCTCTGCGAGGCAGAGCTGGCTTCTCTGATATGCGCATTTTAGTCACGTTTACGTCACAGTATTGCACTTTCTAAATTAGTGAGACATCTTGATTATTTGGTAAAAATTGTTTGATTTGGAATTGGAAGTTCAAAATCAAACTTGGATCTGCGACGCCAGTTTAAATGTTCAATAGCAGTGGTAGGAAACCAGTGGCAGTCACTTTTTGTTTTGCTCTGTGATCACTGATCAGAATTTATTACTATATTTTCATTACATTACAGCCATGTTGAACGATTTAGTATTTTAGTAAATACTAAATATTTAGTATTTACAAGTACTAAATATTTAGTACTTGTAAATCAAACTGTAGCTGGGAATTTGCATGTATGTTTGTGTGTGCTTGAGAATTCCTGACTTCTAATTTGTGAGGTCAAACACTAATGTTGGGCAAGAAGGCCTAACACGCCAAACTTTTACCTCCAGTTGTTGTTTTTTTCT